GGGGGATGATGGGGGTCAGCAGGTAACTTCTCCATTTGCGAAGCCCATGGACCTGCCTGGTATTTCTGGCTATGGGGGGGTCATGTGACCTTTGCTCCTCCCTCCCAGAATGCATTGCTTATTATTGAGCAGCCAATCATCAGCCCTGACGGCTGTCACATGGAGTTTGAGGAGAAGATCCCTGTGTTAGACTGACAGCACTGTGTTCCTGTGCTGTCTATGGGACTTTCTGTGGGGATTGCCTGGCGGCTCCGTACGGAGATGTATCGTGTCCCGGCATCCCCGGAGCACACTCCCCCGGCTGTGACAGCCCTGTGCCGTTAACTCCAGGAAGGATCTTACATTGGGCCGGCCCGGCTCGGGGGGTGAGTATCCGCCTCTGACCTCCGGAGGGCGGCCGGGGATGCCGGAAATCACTTTACTACATACAGCAATATCCGGGGCTTCCCCTCCGCACCATACCTGCCTCCAGGAGAACACCTTTTTTATATAGAACACAAGGCGCTCTCTGATTGGAGGAGAGGAAGGGCGGGGCGTATGATGTCGCAATCCAATCGGAGAACTCATTGAACATTGAAATAGAAATCCAAGGCGGTGGTGCCCCTGCAGGTGACTCCCGTGTGCTCATAGAAGGAGAGGGAGCACTATCCGTGGTCACCTGGGATGTCACATGACTGCACCAGAGACCCCTCGGCAAACGTGCGCATACAAAAGAAAAGGAATGATTGGAGGAGGGCGGTTTTGGGGGGGAGGGGATTGTGCTGAACCCAGATTTAGGTTTTAAAGGGAATTTGTGCAGGCAATAAATAAGTCCCCCGCGTCCGGTGACCCCGGCTTCTTTCATGCAGGAGAACGTGGAATATCTGATCAAGGAGCTGCGCAGGCCCAAGTACAGCGCCTACTTCCTCTGTGAGTACTCACATACATGACGGATGCCGATCATGGGTCAGAGATGCTGTGGTAGGTCAGTGCGCCCCCGTGTGTAGCTATGGCGGGGGCAGGGGACTCTATACTACCTCGGGGATGAGATGAATGGTTCTGTATCCCGAATCCC